CTCTCTTTCCCTATTCCTCACTCTCACTCAATCTCTCTCTCTCTAAAAATAAATAAACATAAAAAAAGATTCTCTCCCTCTGCCCTCTCCCTCCTTCACTCTCTCTCTCTCTCTAAAATAAATAAATTAAAAAAAATTAAAAAGTATTCTTGCCTTATCCCAAAGAGTATTCTTGCTTTATCCCAAAGAGCTGCTCTTTACGAAGTAACATGAATAGTCTACAAACATCAAGAGTAAAATGAGCCCAGAAGCCTTATATGTGTATACAAATATATGCTCACACCTACTATCTGAAACAGCGTAGTTTTTGGTCCTATATCTTATTTTCCTTTTATCCATTTTATTCTTTTTACTATTAACTGATTTTTAAAAAATTTTTAATGTTTATTTTTGTGAGAGAGAGAAAGAGAGAGAATGTGCGGGCCTGAGTAGGGGAGGGGCAGAGAGAGAGGGAGACACAGAATCCTAAACAGGCTCAAGGTTCTGAGCTGTGAGCACAAAGCCCAATGCAGAGCCCAAACTCATGTCAGGCTACAACATCCTGACTTGAGCCGAAGTTGGACGCTTAACTGACTGAGCCACTTCGGCACCCCAACTATCAACTGATTTTAAACAAAACTGATACTGACTTCGTTAGAGTTGATGCACTTATTAGTGTCTTCACAATATAAAAATGAAAATATACAAGTAAAATTTAGGAGTGTTAAAGTTAGGGTTACAAGTGATCAAAAATCGATACATAACAGTAATGGACACAGTCTACTCGATTACAAAATGTGATGTACTTTTATATATCAGAGTAACCTATGACTTCACCATCAAGCTAGACTAACAGTCTTCTGTTGTCAATCATTTAGATATATTTGTAGAACATGCAAGAATAATATCTTTGTTTAAATTCTGGAGGGGGTGCATTTTAGTAACAGACATTCATACCATTGACAAGCAGAGGAATTGCTTAGTATTTTCCTCTGCCACCTTTAAGAACACCTCTTAGAATTTTTCTTTTGGCTTTAAAGTGAAGTCACTTGGGTCTGGGCATTCTTGGAAGCAAAATCACTTAGAAATTAATGTTTTGTGCTAAGAGAAGTAATATTTCACAAGAACAAAAATCTTGAATGTTTCCTGTTAAATTCTGAAGTCACAGTTTGTATCAATTCAGATCAACTCAGAAGTTGACCAGGAATTTTAAAACTGACTTTGACTGGAATATTCTTTTCTTTCCACAGTAGAGATTTCCTTCAATTAAAAAAAATCAATCAGGATATCAAACTGTTTGACAATGTGAGAAGTTTGAGGTGTAGACATGACCATCAAGAAGCATCTTTGAATTCTGAAAGATCTAACTATTGTGCTGTGTGGAGAACATCAAGACACATTACTGGTGATGACTTCACCTCTAGAAAACAGTACTGGGAGCTGGATGTGGGCCATTCTTGTGAGGAAGCTCTAGGAATCTATAAAGATTCTTGGATGAGAAAGAATGGTTTGCTGATGGAATCTGAGGATATATTTCTTCTTTTATGTCTGAAAGAGGGTAATTGTTACAGTCTCCTGTCCAGTTTCCCAGTGTTTGTCAATAAAGAAATCTCTGGGCCAGTTGGTATATGTTCCTTGATTTTTCATTCCATCTTCTCTTGTTCCGTCTTCTTTAAATTAAATCATCTCTGTGGCCCAGTTACCTAGATACATGCTGTGGTTGCTCACCTGGGTTGTGAGTTTGCTGGAGTTATAAAAATATACAAGTGTGTGATTCCAACTCAATGGTGTACTGTAGGAACACAGAGTTTGCCCATCACAGACAGACTCGATTATCAACAACGCCCATGTCAATCTGAAACTTTCTTCTCCCAAGTCTTAATCTAGAATGTCCCACAATTCAATTCACCCTCAGGGGAGAAAAATCTGTTTTATGGGGAAATCTCCACTGACCCTCAGGACCTTAAGGATAAACCTTTCTTTATATGAACTCCAAATATTTGACTGTATCATTTACAGTAGTGGAAATTTCAAGAACTAAGGAAAGTGTTCATTATCCCAGCAGATCACACAATGTCTAGGAGATAACGTGCACTTAACCAATATTTGATGAGTGAAGCAGTTCATAAACAAGTGACATGACTGCCTTATTGGCAGTAGGGTTTGATTACTGTATGCTGCCCAATAATCTTCGCTACAGTTTACATACTATATACTCTGTTTTCCAAATTCCACTTCTGAAAGGGACATAGCTTTGAAATACATGTGGTTCTACATATTTGTCCTCAAGAACTGAAAATAGCCAGTAGAAAAAAACGCTATCAGTCACTGAAGATGACAGTTGAGGATAATAGAGGATAAAGAAGGGCCTTGACTCCTGCTTTTCAAAGTTCCATTCAGCCGCACCGCCATCACACTCACCTGAGCTTCAGGGCACATGGGTGGCTCAGTTGCTTACGTGTTTGACTCTTGATCTCAGCTCAGGTCTTGATCTCAGGGTCATGAGTTCAAGCCCCGTATTGGGGTCCCCTTGGGCGTGAAGCTTACTTAAGAAAAATAGTTTACCTGAGCTTTGGTTGAAATGCCAATTCTTGGCTCAAACCCAGGACCTAGGGCTCAGAAACGTTGCATGTCAAGGGCCGAAATTCATGGTTTGTCAGTCATTCCAAGTAATTCAGATGAATGCTTAACTTTGAGAAACATCGAATGAGGTGGTTTACACCAGCAAATTTCTTACATCTGAGAGCGAGAATATCACTAGACGCAATTTGATCCAGTAACATTGATTACCTAGTCTTTTCTTGGTTTATTTATGTATTTTGAGAGAGAGAGGGAGAGCATGAGTGAGCAGGGGAGGGACTGAGAAAGAAGGAGGAGAAAGAACTCCGAGTAGGCTCTGCACAGTCAGCACAGAGCCGGATGTGGGGCTTGAACTCACAAAGTGTGAGATTATGACCTGAGCTGAAATCATGAGTCAGTTGCTTAACTGACTGAGCTACCCAGGCACCCCTGATTATTCTTTAATGAAAAGAGTATAGTAGTGGAGATTAAGATCTTGAAGAGAATGCTGAAGATTTCAAAAATAAAATTTGGATAATAGATTATTTTTGTGTAAAATACCCATAGTCATAGTTCTTGAATTGTGGACTAGTTAAACAGAAGAAAAAAGGTCCTTTTTTTATTTGAAAAATACAGGAAACAGACAATAATGGGAGAAAAAAACACTCAATATGGAGGTAAGTAAAAAAGTAATGAGTTTAATCCACTTTCTTGACGACTATTCAGAAAAGACATTCCAATCAGATTTTTAAGTATGTTATTTTTGGGTATATTTCAAATTCTGGAAATATGTGATAATGAGAAGATTCTAATTTGTTACATACAAATATGTACTATATATCTATACATATAAATTTTGAATAACTATAAATTTAGTACTTCATATGGATTTTAGCAATATTCAGAAAGTATCCTTTTTTGGGACAAAATGTGAAACAAGCATTCTGAGATATCAGTGGCAGATATTATGGTCTCATGACCCTAACAAGACGTAGGGCATTGGTACAGAGAAGGACAAAAACCTTCCTGAAACCAAAGAGAAAGTCTTAAGACTCAGTTGTTGTAGGGATACTTGATTTTTGACTGAACAGGCAGGCACTGCCAATGGGTGAAAAAAGAGAAACTTTCCAGTGAATATTCTGTGATACTTTCACAAAAATTAATTCCAGATACATTCAATATGAAAAAGAAAATTCATGATTTTAAAAGAAGTGAATATTGGAAAATATCGTTTTGATTCTATGTTAGAAAGGGATTTCCTAGTGAAAAAACCAAAAGCATGATTTAAATAAGGTAACTACTGAACAATTTAACTGCAAACGTTTTAAGAATTTTTTTTCTCAAAAGACACTCTAATGGAAGTGAAAAACTGAGAAAAAAAAAAACCCTGTAAGATTTAAAACTAGTGAAGGATGAATATCCAAAATATGTAAAGAATTCTTCCAGTCTGGAAGAAAAATAGAGACTGCACCTTCCCCCTAGAAAAAAACATCTGAAACTTCACAGGAGGAGAAGTAAGCAGTAAAGGTGAGGATCTTCTCAACCTCATTCATAGTTAAAGACGTAAAATTAAAATGACAATCACTACCATCAAATAAGCGTTTAAAGGATTAATTTTGGTAATGAGGTGAAGAAACTCTCTTGGCTGAATAGAGAGAGATTTGAGGGAGGAGGGGACCGGTCTGGGGGGTTGGGATGGGGGGTGGTTTTCAAGGCCAGGTTTGGGTGCGCTGGGTCCAACCTTTCCCTGACCTCACCTGGTGGCAAAGGGTGAGCTGGAGGCCAGAGGGCGGCTATTCCAGAGACTGGAGACCTCTGGCTCGCAAAGCCACGTGCCCGGCACAGGGCATTAAGGGCGTGGCACTGAGCAGGACAGGCCGGGAGGCTCTTGGCAGCTCCCCTGTGGCTCTCTAGAATTCCGGAAGCTTCCGCGGGGAGACTGGAGAAGTCGCTAACAGCCCCAGCCACACCCTGCCATTACATATTTGAAAAATGCTGTTTTCTTCCTGTTCTGACCTCAGTCAGTCGCTGTAAGTTCTGCATCTTCTAGACACGTGCGGGACCATGGATGGTGCTTTCTTGGAGCCCAGGCCCCGGCTTTAGCCAAGCGCTGTGCTGGGCTCTGGGCCAAAACCAGGGTCCCTACCATGCCACATGTCTGGTAGTGACAGTTTAGACATAATGATCTAATGGTTTGTGAGTTCGAGTTCTCATCGGGCTCTCTGGTGTCAGCCAGAGCCTGCTTCGGATGCTCCGTCTCTCCCTGCTCCTCCCCACTCGCGCACACAGGCGCTCGCTCTCTCTCTCTCTCTCTCTCTCTCTTCCCCTCCCCAACAATAAATGAACATTGAAAAATAAATAAATAAAAGCAAACCTTGAAAGCAGGATTTCTCCCAGAGTTAACCCCCTCCACACTCCCAGACTATGGAACTGTGGCCACAAAAAGGGTTTCACATACCACTATGGACCTGGTGATATTTTGGGTAATACCATGGAGCTTGAGCATTGTGATCTTTTCCTCAAGAACTTACATCTAATTAAAAAGCCTTTACTATATTGCTGTATGTGCAGAGGCAGACAAGAGAATGAAGGGGTGCCAAGGGTAAACTTGTTGGAGTTTTTTGATATGTAATTTCCAAGAGAAGATAATATTAAAGATAAACATTTTGGAATCTGAAGACTGTAGTTCACTTTTTTAGCCGTGATTTACATTAGAAGAGCAAATTTATGGTGACCAGTCATTTGGCGTAGGGGAAATAGATTAGTGTTTTAGGTTTTCTTTCTAGGATGCTTCCCTGGATGAAGCATACTTCATATGTAGTCATTGACTAAATTTGAAAATGTTTTTAAGAAACTGAATAGGATACAAGCCTAGTCAAGATGGAGAAAACTTTAAGAGATAGTTGCCTAAACTTAGCAGAAAATACAGTTTTTCTTTTACAAAAAATGTGTATGATGCCTTTTAGGAATCAATCATGTAGTACACATCCACCATGTGATCATTAAATCCACAAAAGACCATAAGTCTTTCAATTATGCATACGTGCTCAATAATAGAAAGAGAGAGTATGAGAAAATATGCAGGGTAATAAGAAAAGGAGCAGAGTCTTAAAGAAAGTCCAACAAAAGACATCGTGTGTGCAGTGTTAGACCAAAAGAAAAAAAAGCAGTAGAATATTTCCAAAAAGAAAAGAAAAAAATATTAAACCAAAAGGGAAGAATTTTGTGGAGGACTTACCAAAAAATATAAAATTTCAGAGAATTTTAGTTCAGCAGAGATTGACAAGATTCATAAAATAGTAGAAGGATAGTTCTACCAGACCAGCAGGTGGGATTATCTGGCAGGGGCTTGTTCACACTGGGCTGAAAAATCAAATGTGGATAACTTTCTCTCTGAAAAAAAAAAAAAATATATATATATATATCAAGAAAGAAATGCATGTATTTGCAGACAATCAAATATAGTGGATAATGTGCATTGATTCAATTAATATAGTTTCCTTTTAAATATTTTATTTTAGTATTTTATTTTATTTTATTTTATTTATTTTATTTGAGAGAGAGATAGAGTGAGTGCAAGCATGAGAAGGGGAGGGGCAGGGAGAGAGAGAGAATTCCAAGCAGGCTCTGCACTGTCAGTACAGAACTAGGTGTGGGGCTGGATCTCCTAAATCGTGAGGTCATGACCTGAGCCAGATGCTTAACCAACTGAGTCACCCAGGTGCCCCACTTTTTATCTGCTTTTAAGAAACTCTAGGGGTGCCGGGGTGGCTCTGCTGGTTAAGCATCCGACTCTGGGTTTCAGCTCAGGTCATGATCTCACAGTTCATGAGTTGGAGCTTCTCATAGGGCTCTGTACTGACAGTGTGGAGCCCGCTTGGGATTCTCTCTCTCTACCTCTCTCTCTGCTCCTCCCCTGCTCTCTCTCTCTCACTCTCAAAGTAAATAAACTTAAAAAAATACTTAAAAAGCAGAGAAAAAGTTTATATTTGGGGGATATTTATTTATTTATGGGGAGTTCATTTGTTTTAAAAACAACAAATCACATGGATCACATAGGTTAACTCAAGGTGTGGCTTATTACTAGAGAGCAAATGTGGAAGTTTGATTAAGCTGGTTTAAGGTTTGTAATCAGTCATCGTCATCAGGGTATGTCTTCCAAATGCAAAAATGGAATCAGGAACTCCAACACCTTTCTCAAGATTAGATAATCCAAGATAATTATCTTGGATTAGCCAATCACTTTCGGTAAATGGGTGTGATCTTCAAAGACTATAAAACATCAGGCAAAGAGCCAAGCTCATTATTCTGTAGAATCATGTGTTTGGAGTTGGCTGGGCTGTGGAGACTTCAGAAATTTACTGCTATTGAAAGGTGAGCACCTAATCCTTGAACCAACTTGAACAGAATCCCTTGCTGAACAAGAGTGGAAATCTCCACTAATAGTACCCACAGGTGAGGACTCCTATTTATGAAAGCAACTTAGGATTTTCCCACATCTGCCTGTATTTCTCCATTGTGAAGATAATAATAAAGGAAAGTGAGTGAGTAACAGTAGAGACATTTGAAGTCAGATCTAAACATCGAGTGTGACCTATTTATGAGAAGTACAGTTGAAGTAAGTATGCTAAGTGGATGAACTGAATGTAAGATGAACTGAAAACTCATTTAAATTACTAAAGTTTGACTGGTGTAATGAGGAGAAGGATCCAAAAAGAGCATAGGTAAAGGCACAGAGATAATTAGATGTCATTTTACTGAAGGTTCATCTAAAATATGCTAAGAAGTTGAAACATCTTGAATGCAGTTAAAAGCTTCTGAAGGAGTTAAAGCAAAGAGGAGATATTATCACAATTCTTTTTTAGAAAGTTCATTCAGATTGCAATTTAGAAAGAATACTGATTGATTGGAAGACCTCAAAATCAAAGTCAAGGAAGCAAATAGGCTGTTTAGGAACCTTGAAGCAAAGGTTAGGAGTGAATTGAACACAGATAATGGGAAGTAGAAGGATTCAAGGGACAGTCTTTATGGTAGAAAAATGTTAGAAAATATGATCTGTTTGAGTGTAGAAAGTTAAATGGATAAAACTAAAAAATGAGACATATTTTGCTTGATATTGGAACATCACTGAGGTTAGAAATGGAAGTGGTATGACTGATTTGATATAAGATATTGATAGTTTGAGAAATGTGCCACTGTAAGTTCCAGTGAGATATACCAGCAGAAATATGCAGTATGCAGCTGGATGCATGAGGTTGGAGCCTATATGAAAGATTTGGCTGGGACGGGGACAGTTCACAATTGTTAGTATATTCTAGGCATTTGAGCAGAGGAATCTCAAATGAGAATTTTTAGAAAGTAAAGTATAAAGTTTTCACATGGAAAGATAACTTGAGGAATCTTTGTATTTGTAAGTCCAGTTGGGAAAGAGGAGTTGGAAAAAGTAAATCTTTACAAAGAAACCAGGAGACAGGGATTTCCTTGAAGCCCAGGGTATGCAAGTTTCATAGTAGGAAGGATTAATGAAGTATAAAGAACTTAGTAATGTGTATATAAAAAACCATGTGGATTCAGCAAAAAAGGTTCTGGTGAGACAAAGAGCAATCTCATTAAAACAGGAATAAAAGAGAGATTTCACTGATTTGAAGAAAGACTGAGAGTCCCACAAACGAGTCGAGTGAATGTATACTTGTGAACAATACATAAGTTTTTTGGAGTAAAAATGACAGTATAAGAGCCAAGACAGAGGGTCAACTGAGTATATTTTATTTTAATTTCAAAACCCTGTGAGTGAATAAACCATGTTTAAAAGTAGGGAGGAAAGTAGGGAAAGATAAAGTGAAAAAAAAAGTGAGAAGAGGGGCATTAATACTGGAAGGTGGTTGACTGTTGACCAATGTCTTTAAGGACAGTGTGGAAGTCAGCTAAGAAAGGGGGAGGGGGGTAGAGCCCTGGGCAGGATGAGTTAAGCTGCACTCATACACACAAGGTTCTGATCTGCATGCAGTTTCTGGATGTGAAAGTAAAATTTTAGAAAAGTCTTATTCTGAGAAGCAATGTTTGCTATTATTTTCAGAAAATGAGTTAGTCTATAGCTAAAGTATCTGGGCATACAACAGATGAAATGGATTTAGTAATGAGGGTTCTTAGTATATTAGGCAAGACAATTATTGTATCACAGGTACATATTATTAAGAAAATGTAGATATTTTGAGGAAGGAGTTAGAGTCAAGGTTTTCACTTGTAGTGCAAAAATATTACCAAATGAGTAGAAAAGTGATCAGAGGGGAGAAGATGTCCCTAAATTTCTGTTTTCAAGGAATGTACCAAATTGCTAAGTGTCAGAGGAGAAATAGTAGGTGATAAGACATGGAAAGCCTCTATATGATCTAAATAACCCACTCTCCATAGAGCTTTGTGTCTCTGCGCAGAGAGATGCTCCGTGCTGAATATAGGAAGGTGCACCACTTGCTTTACGAGGAAGAGAGACGCTATTTAGGGAGAATCGAAAAAGAAAGCAAAGAGATTTTACAGCAACTCAAACAAAGTGAGGACAGCATGGGCCAAAAGGGGAAACTGCTAAGAGGAGTGTATGAGGTCCTCAAGGAAATGTGCCATAAACAAGACATGGAGCTGCTCCAGGTAAGGACTGAGGGAAGGAGCTTCACGGTGCTGCCTGGAGAATGTCCATATTCTCTTTGCCTTCCATCACGCGTTTGCGATCATGCTTTCTGATGCCGTGGGCAGGGTTTTGCGTGTCTTGGTGATGCTGATGTCCACAGGGTATTCTTGCCATACACAATAACTGAAGTCTGAAAAAGCAGGTTAAAAAAAAAATCCTAGAGAATACCTCCTTCTCAAATTGTAATATACATTCAATTACTGGTGGACAGTGACCAAGAAGCTTGTTTGAAGGTGTATGGATTTGTATGTGGATCTGGAAAAAATGAGAAATTTCAGAATCTATACAATTCATTTTCCTTTTCTGTTTCCATGTACATGATACGATTTGCTGGAATTTGGGCTTACCCACTCTTGGGAATAAGTAATGAAGTCTTTACTGTGAATCTTGTGATATATACTGAGATATTTTTTTCTGATTCTCTTTACAGCAGTTTGAAAATACATTAAAAAGGTAAGTTTGCCCCTAGATTAAAGGTTTGAGAATTGCTTAAGAGCAATCAGACTGTTGATGCTAAAATAGGAGCATAATTAATTATGATAATAGAACTTATTTCATAAGATATTTATCTTTCATGTCTCCAAGGGTAGAAATAGGTTTGTTGTTTTGTGTAAGGTGGAGTTGGACAGGGCTCTGCTGAAGCCTGTGGGGTTGGCAGTTCTGTGGACAAGCTGCATGTAGAGAAGAGCCACTTGTGATTTTAATGCTTAGAAACTTAGGAACACATCAAGTATGTGGCCGGAAGCCATGACAAGCTTATGCGGGAGAAATAGGTATTTCCAAGAAGTATACAGTGGGAGAAGAGGGAGAAGAAGCATGGGGGTGAGGACCATGTGGGGCTTGGGGCTCCCATGGGTAGCACGTGGCTGACTCCAGCTTCACATGGAAAGGCTGTCTGCTGTATATACCGAAGCTGGGTCCTAGGAGCAGAATCTCTGCCCGAGCTAAGCTCCTCACCCCCTTGCTGTGCATATATGGACACAGAGCATCTTGGTGGTGACCAGTGTGTATTAAGAATCAAAGTGCCCTCTTGTGGGGATGAGCACTGGGTGTTATATGGAAACCAACTTGACAATAAACTATTTGTAAATAAAAAAAAATTTTAAAAAAAAAGAATCAAAGTGCCCTTCTGTAATGTCTTCAGTTTTGTGCCATCTTGCATAACCCCCGCTCAGCTCTGAAAAACCAGATCCTGAAATGGTATGCTAGGATCAAAGTGTGAGGAGGTAGCATTGGGTTTAATTTGCTCTTCATAAAATGAATGGATATTTGTGAAGCTCCCTACTTTGTGGAGTTACATTCATAACTACTTATGATGCTAATTATGAGGATTTTAATGAAGCATTTTCACTGGGACATAGATTAAATCTAATCATTGTAATGAAAATGTTGAACTCAGAAAGAGTAACTAACTGTTCTTTTTTGTAGGAGTGAGTCAGTGCAGCTGCACATGCCCCAACCTGTGGACCCACAGCTCAGTTCATGGCCCATCACGGGGCTGATAGAGAGGCTCAACCGTTTTCTTGGTAATAGACTGCCCTTTGGTTGGGTAGCTGTATGTTCTCCTCAGCTAGTGTCTATGGGTAATGTTGCCCCATTGTAAAATTGATGATTTCATATCTGGGCATTTTATAACCAAATCTGCCTTTGTGGAAAAGTAATATATGTGGACAAACAACTACTATCTGGAGAAAAATTCAATATAATAGTTTATGATAAGCTACTTGGAAGTAAACAATAGGAAAGATATTTGATGGTGTGCAGCATGCTGCAATTCGGTGTCAGCTGTAAGAAACATGTAAATCTGCATGAACATTCAGTATAGTCCAAGTTTTAGGTTATGTGGTTATTACAGGCTGTGAGATGATTAGAGAGTTTTGTTTTCTACAATGTTCTGTAATAAATGCACTTTACACAGGACATCCTTTATTCACATAATACAAAAATAGTTTGTATAAATCAATAGTGTTAAGAACATAAAACAAACATTTCTACACAACACCACAAAGTAAGCTAACCACTTATTTCACAGTTTTCTTCCCAACAATTACACTGGTTGAAAATTCTCACATTCTACTTCTAAAAGACATGATTTTTCTTTCAGTTTATTTTACCTTGATATATATTGGCAAAAAAAATACTTAAATATGAGGCACAGTGATCACTCTTTAGGAATTGTTATTATTAAGAATTATTTTCTGAGGAGGTTAGTCAGCTACTTCTGTTACCGTGATTACTAATGATGTCCCCATTTAAAAAATTTCAGAGGACGAACAAACAGTGCTTAGTTATATCCCTCTTCTTTATATGTTTTAAGAAAATTCCAAAATTTCTTCTAATTTGTCTAATTAATGATTTGCTCATTATGAAGGCAGACCCCTGACATACAGTAGATTTCTAGAGCTTCCTCACTGCCCTGGCCTTGGTTTCCAGGGTAAGCTAAAAACCCAGAGAGTATGTGTCCATAAGGAATTGATAACACTACATTTTAATGTGACTGTTTTCTTCCTCCTGCAGTGTCCACTTTTTTTGAAAATGAAACGACCTGTGACATGCCACTGTTTGAAGATCTGAGACATTGGCTCTTCAGTGGCGATCATCCTGACATTGTCACTAATGCAACAAGATCTAAATACTTTCTCGCATGGGGAGCCCAGACATTCACGTGTGGTCAACATTACTGGGAGGTGGATGTGGGGACCCGTCAGAACTGGGCCCTTGGGTTTTGTAATGATTCCTGGACAATGAGGAATGACATGGTCCTTGAGTCAGAGGGAATTTTTCTACTCTTCTGTATCAAAGAAGACAACCAGTGTCGTCTCTTTAGCTCCTCCCCATTTTCTCCTCAATACGTAGAAAGGCCTCTGGGCCATGTGGGGGTGTTCCTAGATTAGGAGCGTGGCATGGTGAGCTTTGTGAACGTGGCCAATTCCTCCCTTATTTGCAGTTTCGTTTTATATTCCTTCTCTCTTCCTCTCCGACCGTTTCTATGCTCTGCACCCCGGTGAGGAGGGATATGTCAGAAACTGACCACAAGCGTCAGCGATGCCAGTACTCAAGAGAGCTCAGCTAAGTGCCTGCTTGACAGCCTTCAATGTCTTCCTTTATCAAACACATGGACTATTTTTAAAGGGTTGATAATTATAAGTGTATACATTTGTTTCCATTTTCTTTAAATAAAAACAATCTCTCTTAGATTTTGATGCCTTCTTTATTCTACCCTGTGTCCTTTCACTTGTCTTCTAAGGTTGCTGGAGGCAAAGAATACCCGAGTAGGTTTACTCAGCTACATGGGCTAAAACAAGAGCACATGTTTCTTCCCACTGGCAGACTTGGAATATTCTCCTCTTTGCTCTGCATCTGCTAAGGCATATTTCTTCACCAAGTCTCAGCTTTAAAATGTCTTCCTCATGGAATGATTTGTAAAGCTTCTGGACTAAATGAGGTCTCTTGAATGTATGGACTCAAAAGACCCTATATTCTTTGTAAAGGCCCCAAGCTAATATCCTTCTCCTCTAGTTTACCTATTATAGGAGAAGGTGTATGCCTGCCTTATGTACAGGTATATTTCAATAGGTAGCACTGAGTTTAAGATGTAATTAACATTCAGTAAATGTTTGAGTAAATTCATAGATGTTACAAGGTAGCAAATAAAGACATGCCTTACCACTGTCAAAAGCGTACTAAATGTAACTAAAATTAAATGAGAATACTGAGGAGTATTAACTAATAAAGATGTGAATTAGGCTGCCTTTAAATTTGATAGGCTATGAAATTATAACAGACACAAAAAGATACTATCTAAACATAATGACATTAACAGAGATATAAGGACTGCATATGTGAGCAATTTCAGTAATTTTAATGAAGATACCTATAGTCACAGATAGCCTAAATTTATATGTACCAGACTGGACAGTACAAGTTTTTGCTATAGAAAATAAAGAATACTCAAGAGACAAATTGCATTTAAAATGGTTACAAGGTTAATCAAATCTTAAAAGGTTGAAATGGTATATTACACTATTATAACAATAAACTTATTTTTATTCTATTTCTTTATCCTGAATCATACATATGATGTTGAATGTTTTTGTATTTAATTCACTTACTGGAAGGTATGGCATACAATAAACACAACCACAGTTTCAGATCTGTGAATTGGGATCTGTTTAAAAGTCTGGGAATGCTCCGATTAGTGAGAAGTTATCTAGGAACAATCTGAGAATGGCTGAGCCTGCCTCTGAATGGTAAATCTCATTCAAGGGTCTAGTCAATCTATTTCTTGTCATTTGTTGACATCATCCTTTAATATTTTCTGTCCTCTTACATTAGCAACAGTTTGAAAAATTTTGTTATTGCCAGAATAATGTTTGTTTATATTCACTCATTTATTCATTTATCTATCCATTCACCACACATTTATTTTGTACTATGATCAAAGTACTCTGTTAGATAGTAGAGATATAGTAACAATAAGACAGTGTCTTTATGTTTGGGGGATTTCTAGTCCAGTAGTAATAAGCATCTACCAATTTCATGAGAGTAATGAAGAGAAACAGACAGTTTAGCACACACATGTCTAAGCCTCCAGTAGACAATGGGAGTGTAAATAAGCCAATGGAATTAATGAATTAATTCAGTCAGGAGACATAGCAGGAATGAGATGAAACGTAGAAGCAATGGCTTGATATTCTGATAGAATTCTTATTTTTATTCAGCACATTTTAACATTAATATACTTTTGAAGTTAAGGTTCAATAAAACTCATGGATATTTAGCAAATGTATAGTGACCTATATCTTACGTTCACACACAGTACAAATCTGCCTCTCAGGCAGTAAGACAAAGATTAAAGCACCAATGGTACCTAGCACTCTCTCTGGGAGACATGAAAATTATTGATCCTAATGAGTCATATTCCAGAGCATGAAAGTTGAAGTCCTTTAACAGACACATCATATCAATACCAGTTTGGAAACAAAAACAGGATGTTGTCAGATTTTCTTCAACTCAAAAAAAATTATACATAGGTGTGTCTGATAAAATTTGACACTTAATCAAAGAAAGAAAATATCATGGCAGCCTATGTCATATATATGTCGGCATGGAACTGTTTCAGTTTTCACCTGTAACCTGTCTTCTATATCAAGTTTTGAATAATCTTATTTGTAAAACATCGTGGAATAAAGAGCTGTACATATGAGAAAAGAAGAACACTTTAGTTTTAAATTCAAACAATGGTTCTCAAACTCGTCTACACATTAGAATCACCTGGATAGATTTTAAATCTCTGTGGTGTTGCTTAGGTGGTGGCACTCTTTAAGTTCTTCAGGTGATTTCAATATAGAGTCAAGTTTGAAATTATTGATTTAGAGTAGTAGTTCTTAAACCTGACTATACATTAAATGCAACTGGGTAGATTCTGAAACTTCTCAATTTTAGATTATAACCCAGAACATCTCAAAAATTCTCTGAGTGAAATTCAGGCATTACCATTTCCCAAGAGTCTTCAGATGATTCCCACACTCAGGCAAGTTTGAGAACCAGTACTTTAAAAGTCTCCATGCATCAGGGTGTTGGGTAACTTAGTCGGTTGAGCGTCTCACTTCAGCTAAGGTCATGATCACACAGTTCCTGGGATCCAGCTTCATCTTGGGTTTTGTACTGACAGTGAGGAGTTTGCTTAGGATTCTCTGTCTCCCTCTCTCTCTCTCCCCCTCTACTGCTCTCTCAAAAATAAATAAGCATAAAAAAAAATACTCTCTACACATCCCCTACTCCAAGCTTGGAAGCCTTGAATAATGAGACATCCCTATATGTAGTTTGTTTTATCCCTCCCTGTGCTCTTGTTCAGTGATAATCAGACTTCATTCTCCCTGAGAAGTACTTCATAGCATCACACACCAAATCATATTTAATGCATCACACGTGATTTTAGCAAGGTGAGTGATAACTTCAAGTGTTTTAGAAATGGCACCTTGTTTTCACAATACACATTTGAACTTAACCCCCTGAAAATATGTGAATTCACTACACTCTCATCTTAAATAATGATCTAGCTTAAAATTATGCAGAGTTAAGTAATAAGCATCAATCAGTTAAATAGATATTCAATTTTACTGAAATACTTTAATTTGAAAACAAAATTGTTATGATGAAGCCCTTTTCTTTGTAAAGCTAGTGTTTAACTTATTAGTGCAACAAAACCCTAATACTGTATTTATCTCTCATTTCTTTTTTATATTATTTTATTTCATTTTGAGAGAGAGAGAGAGGACAAGTTGGGGAGGGGCAGAGAAAGAGAAATATAGAGAGAGAATCCCAAAAATGTTCCACACTGTCAGCATAGAGCCTGATGTGGGACTGGAACCACAAACCGTGAGATCATGACCTAAGCCAAAACCAAGACTCGGACGCTTAACAAACTGAGCCACCCAGGCACTCTTAAAATCTTTATTCTGTTTTATTTTATCTTATTCTATCTTTTATTTAATTTTGTTAAACTTTTTTCTTCTTCCCTTTTCTTTTTTACCCTCTATCCTATCAAGCTTCTTTCAACAAGCAGACTGAAACATAACTAAGATTAGCTTCCTTTATTGCATTTTGTTTTTAATTTTTAATTTTTATATTTTATTTTATTAATTTTTTTCTTCCTCCAAAATGACAAGATGGACGAATCCACCCCAAAAGAAAGAAAAAGAAGAAATGATGACCAGGGACTTAATCAACACAGACATAAGATGTCTGACCTACAATTTAAAACCACGATTATAAGAATACTAGCTAAGGTTGGAAAAAGCATAGAAGACACCAGAGAACCCCTTTCTGCAGACATGAAAAACTAAATCTAGTCAGGCTGAAATTAAAAATACTCCAATTGAGATGCAATCTCAAATGGATACCGTGACCCAAGGATGGATAAGGCAGAGCACCAAATCGGTGATATAGGAGATAAAATTATGGAAAATAATGACGCAGGGGAAAAAAGAGGCAAATAAAGGCATAATATCATAATACAAGACTTAGAGAACTCAATGACTTATTAAAAAGGAATAACATTCATAGGAGTCCCATGGCTTTGAATGACACACTGGATGGACTTAACTGATATATTCAGAACATTTCATCCTAAAGAGCAAAATACACATTCTTCTCAAGTGCATATGGAACTTTCTCCAGAATAGATCACATACTGGGTCACAAATCAGCCTTCAACAGGTATAAAAAGATCAATATCATACCATGCATATCTTCAGACCACCATTCTATGATACTTAAAATCAACCAAAAGAAAAATTTGGAAAGACCACAGATACTTGGAGGTTAAAGAACATCTTTTTAAAGAATGAGTCAACCAGGAAATTAAAAAGTACATGAAAGCCAAAGAAAATGAAAACACAGAAAACACAACCTTTGAGATGAAGCAAAGTCAGTCATAAGAGGAAAGTTTATAGCAACCCAGGCCTTCCTAAAAAAGGAAGAAAGTTCTCAAATACACAACTTAACCTTACTTCTAAAGGAGGGAGTAAAAGAACAGCAAATAATGCCCAAAGCCACCAGAAAAAGGGAAATAATAAAGATTAGAGCAGAAATCAGTGATATTGAAATAAACAAAACAAAACATAATAAAACAGTAGAACAGATCAATGAAACCAGGAGCTGTTTCTTTGAAAGAATTAACAAAATTGATAAACACCTAGTCAGATTTATCAAAAGGAAAAAGGAAGAACCCAAATAAATAAAATCATGAATGAAAGAGGAGCGATCACAACTAACACCACAGCAATACAAATAATTATAGGAGAATATTATGAGCAATTATACACCAATAAATTGAAAAACCTCAAAGAAATAAACAAATTCCTAGAAACATATAAACTACCAAAACTGAAACAGTAAGGAATAGAAAATTTGAACAGACTCATAATCAACAAATATACTGAATCATTCATAAAATATCTCCCAGCAGTAAACTAGAGTCCAGGGCCACATGGCTTTCCAGGAG